TCATAGTCTGTGCTCCTGTACCCCTCCCCACCTCCCCTTCCTTCCCACCTCCCCTTCTTTCCCACCTCCCCTTCCTCCCCTTCCTCCCCATACCCACTATCTGCTTACTCTCCTCTCCTCTCCCCCATCTGCTCCCCTCTCTCTCCCTCCGGACGTTCAGAGCGTGCACGTGAAACCCTTCAGGACAAGAGGAAGTGTAGGGAGGGACAGGAGACGTGCTGGGTGGAAGAGAATAAGGAACGGTGGCACAGAAAGAAAGGGAAGGGAACAGCGGTCATGGGAAGGGGTTGAAGGAAAGATATGGAAATGAGAGAGGGAGGAAGAGAGAGGGAGAGAGAGAGAGAGAGAGAGAGAGAGAGAGAGAGAGAGAGAGAGAGAGAGAGAGAGAGAGAGAGAGAGAGAGAGAGAGAGAGAGAGAGAGAGAGAGAGAGAGAGAGAGAGAGAGAGAGAGAGAGAGAGAGAGAGAGAGAGAGAGAGAGAGAGAGAGAGAGAGAGAATGTAAAAAGTTAAGTAGAGTAGCGGAAAATCACATTGGGGAAACATGAAGATAATACGTAGGAAAGATGAGGTTAAGAAAAGAGGAAAGAAGCGTGTGTGTGTGTGTGTGTGTGTGTGTGTGTGTGTGTGTGTGTGTGTGTGTGTGTGTGTGTGTGTGTGTGTGTGTGTGTGTGTGTGTGTGTGTGTGGATGGATGTGGACCCTCGGATAACTCTCCATAGTGCGTTGAATTCTCTCAATCAAAACAAAAAAAATACAAATCAAGTTCTGCCTTTTGTCATACAGATATCAGCTGATAGTCTGAATATAATATATTAATCTGACTTGTACTGACAATTTGCATTGTATTGGAATTTCTTTATTTTCCATTTGTGAAATGAACATTTAACTTTAAATTGGAAAGTTCTGAGTCGAATTCTTCAAAGTTTACATTTTAATTATTTTAATTATTTTATTGCCAAATTAATAATAATTATCAAGATAATAATGATAATAATAATAATTAATTGTATTATTTTATTATTATTTTTATTGCTGTAGTTTGTACCGTTGTTGAAGTATATGATGTATGTTTATACAATGTTTCTGTAATTATTCTTCCTTGTATATATTCCCTACGTTCCCTCATATTTCTTTCTCCCTTATTCCTTCCCCCCCTTTGCTCTGCCCTCCCTATATCCTCCCCACGCTCCCTATCTACATTCTCTTCACTCTAACTTCCTCTTTTTCACCCTTTTTCCCCTTCTGCTTCCCTCCTTCCATCCTCACTTCCCTTCCTTCCTCCCTCAGTTTCTCCCTTCCTTCTTTCTCCCTCCCTTCTCCCTCTCCACTGCTAGTCAAGTTACTTTAAGTACCCTTGATGATGGTACTCTCTCCTGTACCTTGTACCGTTATGTGTTCTCGTACCGTGGATCATTATTGTTCTTGGGTCCTGTAATCGTTATGTATTCTTGTAGTTTGTGATTGTATTGCTATGTATTCTTGTAGGCTGAGGCTCCGTGTATTCTTGTAGGCTGAGGCTCTGTGTATTCTTGTAGAAATTGATATGTCAGTTTTGAGTGCGTGTTTGTCAGTATTTGGGGAGTCTAGTGTGTGTTAGTGAGCATTTGGTGGGTAAAGTGCGTGTCAGTAAGCTTGGAGAGGTCTCTAGTGCGTGTCAGTAAGCTTGGGGGGTCTCTAGTGCGTGTCAGTAAGCTTGGGGGGTCTCTAGTGCGTGTCAGTAAGCTTGGAGAGGTCTCTGGTGCGTGTCAGTAAGCTTGGGGGGTCTCTGGTGCGTGTCAGTAAGCTTGGAGAGGTCTCTGGTGCGTGTCAGTAAGCTTGGGGGGTCTCTAGTGCGTGTCAGTAAGCTTGGGGAGGTCTCTGGTGCGTGTCAGTAAGCTTGGGAGGTCTCTGGTGCGTGTCAGTAAGCTTGGGGGGTCTCTAGTGCGTGTCAGTAAGCTTGGGGGGTCTCTGGTGCGTGTCAGTAAGCTTGGGGGGTCTCTAGTGCGTGTCAGTAAGCTTGGGGAGGTCTCTAGTGCGTGTCAGTAAGCTTGGGGAGGTCTCTAGTGCGTGTCAGTAAGGTTTACTCTAAGCGGAGCCGGTGGCTGAGCGGACAGAACACTGGACGCGTGATCCTGTGGTCCCGGGTTCGATCCCGGGCGCCGGCGAGAAACGATGGGCAGAGTTTCTTTCAACCTGATACCTTTTTTACCTAGCAGTAAATAGATACCTGGGAGTTAGTCAGCTGTCACGGGCAGCTTCCTGGGGATGGAGGCCTGGTCGAGGACCGGGCCGCGGGGACACTAAAGCCCCGAAATCATCTCAAGATACCCTTAAGATCTCAATATAACCTTTTGTTGTCTTCTACTATCATATCTACTTCTACTATCATGTTTTGTTTTGGTCTTTTCTCTCCTCTACTTACCATCTTCTGTTCTCTTCTTTACATCTTTATTCATCTTCGTGCCATCTTGTCTCATCTTCTTGCTATCTTCTTGTCATCTACTTGCCATCTTCTGTCAAGAACTTGCCATCTTCCTTTCCTATTATTGTTATCTTCTGTCCTCTTCTTGCCGTCTTTTGTATCATCTTGCCGACTTTGGTCATCTTCTTACTATCTTCTGTCCTCGTCTCCTGCTATCTTGGGCTTCCTGTCCCCTTTAAATGGATATCCTTCACGCCTGCTTCCTCTGTCGCCAACACGTCTCTCTCAGGGCGACAGACAGGGACCTAAGCCTCCCTGAACGACCCCATTCCTCTTGTAACCCTTAAGAAGAGGTGGGAATAAGACCCATTTTTGGGCTGCTGCAGACCTACATTAAGACCTATATACGTCTTTGTAGCTGAGGCCTCTTAGGCTTTACGGAACAACTCAAGGGAAGCTAAGACTTTGCTGTTGACCAGACCACACACTAGAAATTGAAGGGACGACGACGTTTCGGTCCGTCCTGGACCATTCTCACAATCGACTTGAGAATGGTCCAGGACGGACCGAAACGTTGTCGTCCCTTCAATTTCTAGTGTGTGGTCTGGTCAACATACTTCAGCCACGTTATTGTGACTCATCGCCTGCATAAGACTTTGCTATATAAAGTCTATATCTATAAAGTCTATATATATCTATAAAGAAGATTTGCTGTTTTATTCCGAGAAAAACAAAAAATGTATTATATTTTCTCCCTAGAGGAATCACTAGAACAATTATTTTTTGTTTTGTCTGAGAAAAATCCCGTGAACAATATTTTTTTTTGTCTTTTCCTGAGAAAAAGTCTGAGAAAAATATACATTTTTGAATGTTTTTACCCATGAAAAATCACAATTTTTATTTTTATTTTCTCCCAAGGACAATCCAGCGATTTTTTCTGTTACTTTCTTCCGTGAAAAATTGGGATAATGAAAGCAGTTTGGAGCGCCTTTTGTATTTGGTCGCAGAGTGTAGCTACCTGAGAGAAAAATTTGATGTGCTCGCTAAACAGAATCGGGATACTTAAGTCTGAACTTAAGTATGTCTCCGAACCCACCACTCAGGACACTTAAGTGTCCCGAGTGATGGTTCGGAGACATACTTAAGTTCATGTCAACAACTAGAGTGCAACCCCATAGTCTCCTGAGACTGATGGATGCCTACTACTACTACTGCTACTACTACTTAAGTCTGCACTTAAGTATGTCTCCGAACCCACCACTCAGGGCACTTAAGTGTCCCGAGTGATGGTTCGGTGACATACTTAAGTTCATGCCAAGAACCAGAGTGCAACTCAATAGTCTCCTGAGACTGATGGATGCCTACTACTACTACTTAAATCTGCACTTAAGTATGTCTCTGAACCACCACTACGACCTAAAATTCATGTGTTACTTATAAGGAACTCACACTCAATTCTAGAGCTTCTTAGTTACATACGGTAACAGCTGTGTTACTTTAATTTGTAATTATTTTTTCAGGCAGGCATTCCAATCTGAAGTTTTTCAGAGGACCACTTGAACATTGAACTCATTTCAACAGACACTTAAATTTTAGAAAGAATTCTTTGTAAGTAGCTCCTTTACTAGTAGAAAATCAGTAACTTCTGAAGACGTAGTGCTAAAAAAGTAACTTCAAGGAGAAGTAACAAATGTTCATACTTTTTTGGCTCTAAATTGCTCTATCTACATATATATATTTTTATGTATAGTAAGATCGCGTGACTCTTAAGTGAAGCGAGTTTACTACTCGTACTTGTACTTGTAAAAGATGTATTTACCTTAAATAAGATATATTTCTCAGATCCTCACATTTTTAAATTAGTAAGTAAGATAAAGCCACATTAATACAGAATTATGTATGACGAAATTAATTAACCATTTTTATTTTACTGGCCACTTCAACCAAACGTTGTATCTTTAATGGCTGTAAGATCCATTATACTGTGATGGTTGGCAACATGTTCTTCTCTTAGCCTTTAACAGAACTCTGTGACCCTTCGTTCTCCACCTCAGCCTTAACATTCAGCTGCCTCTCGAAGCCTAGAGTTGAGATGAGTTAATATCCCTTAAACCATCTTCTCCTTACACACAGAGATCACAATAACGTGATGGATCAATGAAGGCAGGATTAAGGCAGCGTCTGGTATGATCTCAGACGTAAGTTCGAATCCTCATCACGGCCCCTTGTGGATTTGTTCATCTTCTCCTTCTCCTCTACCGCTGCTCTTTACGTCCTCTTGATTCTCCCTTCTCATCTAGCATAGTATTATCTTGAGGTTATCTTGAGATATATTTCGGGGCTTTAGTGTCCCCGCGGCCCGGTCCTCGACCAGGCCTCCACCCCCAGGAAGCAGCCCGTGACAATTGACTAACACCCAGGTACCTATTTTACTGCTAGGTAACAGGGACATAGGGTGAAAGAAACTCTGCCCATTGTTTCTCGCCGGCGCCTGGGATCGAACCCAGGACCACAGGATCACAAGTCCAGCGTGCTGTCCGCTCGGCCGACCGGCTCCTTGCCGGTATTGTTCATGCCTCAAGCACCAAGCCCTTTCAAGCATGGTCTCTCTCTCTCCTCCAGGCACGGCTGTGTGTTACTTCAGCCTGGAGTATCAGGGGACGTACGCCACCCAGAGCATCATCAGTGGCGGCTCAGATGTCAGATACCTGGAGGTGGTCATTCAGGCCGACTCCATCCCCATCTGGGGCACCTGCCACCGTAGGCTTGGCAACAATGTCATTCTCTACGACACGTGAGTATTTGGCTTCTTCAAACAGTTGAATGAGAGAATGGGAAAATGCTTGCTGTGAATGAGAGGATGGGAAAATGCTTGCTGTGAATGAGAGGATGGGAAAATGCTTGCTATGAATGAGAGGATGGGAAAATGCTTGCTATGAATGAGAGGATGGGAAAATGCTTGCTGTGAATGAGAGGATGGGAAAATGCTTGTTATGAATGAGAGAATGGGAAAATGCTTGCTTTGAAGATTGCCTTGGACTCGTCTTTTCAGGCTTTGATCGACAAAAAATAAATAAAAAATGAGATAGGTCAGGAGAATTTTAAAGGTTATGGGAATTTTAGAAAATGGAAGAGTTCGCATAATCACAAAATTCGAATCTCGAATCATTTTATATCTATGTTCGCATCGCACTTTCAAAAATGCCTCACACACGTACTTCAAATACAAATAATTGCCAACAGAATCAAAACACCTAACATAACCGATCCTAGGAGACCTAACTATAATAATAATAATAATTAACGTCTAATTTTCATTCACGAAGATATAGTTTATGGTTACAAAAGTGCGTCACTAGTGACGAATGCGTCTTTGGGAAAAGAGGTAACTTGATCATGATAACCGATCTGGAATATTTTGAGCTAATGGGTTCGTTATGAACAAGCTTACGATTGTAGGATTGTACAATCGAGTGTGTTAACATTTACGTATTAAACTGAGTTGAAATGTTGCCTTGAGACTGAATGGGTTAGGTCGTGGAAAGCTCCTTCACGACATGCAAATCTTGAGTGTTGAAGGCTCACCTCTTGACTTCAAGAGTGAGAGGTTCAAGGTGCTTTGTCCTGCGTCACGTAATGAAAGGTTCAAGGTTTCTCTTTTCTTGTCACGCGAGTTGAAGGCTTCAAGGTTCAACTGTGATAGTGAATTGCTGTTTTTAGGTCGAAGAGATCAAATTTCACCAGAAGTACAAACGACCAGGGGGATGGGAGTTCATTTTGAACACATTGGCAGGGTTCAGGTGCTGGGAACTCATGTTTAATGCATTGCTAGGGGTTCGAGTGCTGGGAGTGTTCAACACATTCACATTTAACGTAAAATTGCTAGGAATCAGGGGGTTAGGAGTTCATATTCAACATGATGTTAGGATCTAGGAAGGCTTAATGTCAAATAAAATCAATTTGTTGCATTATTGAGGAATATAGAATACGAATTGTATTATATATATTAGAAAATAATGTTATTTGGCATTTTGTTAATATTTTCTCAGTAACAATTTTGATCATTCAGACATTTTAATCATAGTGTGTGTGTGTGTGTGTGTGTGTGTGTGTGTGTGTGTGTGTGTGTGTGTGTGTGTGTGTGTGTGTGTGTGTGTGTGTGTGTGTGTGTGTGTTCATACAAGAGTATGAATATATATATAAACCATCATTAATGGAGCCTTGATGAAGCATCAGTCTCTCACTCTCACAGCATGTCTCTCACGCTCACATCATCATTCTTACACTTTAACTGCATCAGTTTCACTCTCGCAGAATCAGTGTCTCTCTCAACATCACTATCTCCCTCTCGCAACATCACTAATTCACGTTCACAGCATCCCTATCTCACGCTCATAGAATCAGTCTCTCACTTTCTCCACACCAGTCTCTCACTCTCAGAGCATCAGTCCTCACAGAATCAGTCCTCACAGCTTCCCCCATCATCTCCCTCACAGCACGGGAGGGACAGATTGCGTAAGATGCTTCCACCTGGAGTTCCGATCGCGACACATCCTGGAGGTCCACAACGAGGGCCTTCGCAAATGCTACACGAACGAAGAGGCCGCCTTGCAGACCTGCCCTACCGTCGATGACATCCGCAACAGACAGACGCGAGAGATTATGCTCTACAGTGAGTAAATATATATATATGAGATTCATAGACGCGGAGAGACATCTCTTAAACTTAAAAAATTATATGCGGTGTTTATCTTCAAATATTGATAATCGACATTGTTAAGCTATAAATGCAAGATAAATGATTCTAAGCTTCCCAAACACCTCGCGAACGCTAATATTGAAATTGAAATAAGTTTATTGAGGTAAAATACACACAAAGGGATGAGGTAGCTCAAGCTATTCTCACCCCGTTCAGTACATCGTGTTAATACATACATAGACACACGTCACAAGCAATACACGTATTACCTAAATAATTACACGTATTTCCTAAACGCTAATAAGCTCAATAAACAATACACAAACCTAAAGCTTCAGCAACTCAAACTCTAAAAGATTATTAAAGCCCCAGTTATCATTGTTTATCAAATCATTGTTTACTTGATCACAAGTTTACTTAACTAACATTGATCAAATACACACTTTAAGGTATACACCTTAAAATATGCAGCTTAAGGAATAGACCTTAAGATATACATCTTAAGGTGTGTTCCTTTAGGTGTATACCTTAACTGAAGACGGAGGTGAAGAAATGACGATTAGGAGCAGGTAAATTGTTTAACACCAGGTGGGAAGATTACAAATATATTTCTGAACGTTGTTCGTCGCAATATGTTATGAACTCAAGTATTTTTTCTAAGCTTACGTGACGTGAAAAGGAAATAAAAATAATTTCATGAAAATTTCGGATTCCGACACGGATTACTGAAACTAATATATATATATATATATATATATATATATATATATATATATATATATATATATATATATATATATATATATATATATATAATTGATCTTATAGTGTAAGCTTTCTATGCTTCTATTTTCTTAGTATCAGTATTAAGAAGAACAATCATGTTCCCAAAATTTATGGTAAAGAAACTCTAGTAATTATTGAAGGATTTATTTTCTACAACGTTTCCTTCCTCTCTGGAACATCTTCAGGTATAGAATGAATACATAATGTACACTTTTGGGTTAGATCCACATGTAAGAGCAATCAGGCATAGGGTAAGGGGATAGAGCTAATTAACGTAAGGAAAGGGAGGGTCAGTCAAACATTGGGTAACGCATTGGGGTAACGTAATGGCCTTGGTAGAGACGTTATTTTCTGCTGAGGTCTGCTGAGGTCTTGTTCTAGCTGGAATAACGTCTACGAATATATTTATATTTATCTCGGTAATAACGTCAGAATTCGAAACTTTCTCACGAAATTAATTATTTGTATTTCCTCTCCATGACACGCACGCAAAGACAAAAAAATTATTATAGTTTATAACATTGCGACGGACAACGTTCAGAAATTTATTTTTAAGCCTTTTCCCCCTGGTGTTAAACGAATCCAATTTACCAGCTCCTAATCATTCCTTAGCCTTGAGAGTCTCCGGTATTGCTTAGGGTGTGTATCTTAACATGTATATCTTAAGATATATTCCTTAAGGTGTATATCTAAACGGGGTTTAACTTATTAAAAAAAATCATATAGCCTCCTAACTTTACGCCATATTTCCTTTCATCTCATCTCTCTCTTCCCACCACAGAGACGGGGACGACGGAGGGTCAGGCACTTGAGCCGGTGTACTGCCCCCTAGACGGCAGGTTCCATCTCACCTACAACATTAACGACGGTCGAGAGAGTGCCACGGAGTGCCCCGAGCCCTCCTCCACCCTCGCCAACTGCCCCACCGGCAACTCCTTCACCATGGACTTCCACAAATGCAAATTTGGTGATTTCTGTGAGTTACTAATTACGTGGTTTGTTTATATTTTTCTTATCAGTTTTACTGGAATTTATAATTATTGAAATAATATTGCAATGCAGAAGATAATAGTGACACAGGTTAAATAAATAAGAAAATATTGCAATATTATCTGTTACTGTTGTAGTGACGGTGTTCAGTATGTGTTACAACACTATAGCTGAACAACTGTCATTGTGGACACATGCACACACACACACACACACACACACACACACACACACACACAAACACACACGCGCACACACACACACACACACACACACACACACACACACACACACACACACACACTCACACACACACTCACACACTCAGTATGATAGCAGGTATGATAGGGAAATAGGCTAGGAGTCATTGCATTAGATAACCAACGGCTAGAAAAGCTGGGTTTAAGAGCTAGAGCGCGATCCTGCAGGCTCAAATAAATAAGTGAGAGTACACACACACACACACACACACACACTAGGTGAGCACACACACACACAAACACACACTCCGGTTGATTGACAGATACTCCGGTTGATTGACAGCTGTGAGGCGGAACCAAAGAGCTGAAGCTCAACCTCCCCAAAGCACAATTCAGTGAGTACAATTAGGTAAGTACACATGCACCAGAAGACCTTCAGATCTAATCAGTACAATGTGTAAATTTCCTTGAACCAGAGTACAAAGGTGACCTCCCCTCCCCCCCCCCCCAGCTCACACAGCTACTCGTTCAAGGGCTTCTAAATGATAACTCACTTCCTCACACCCCCCATCATTATTTATCCCCATTAATATATCTACCACAGTAGCGCGTTACTTATGGCTTACTAAGCGTGTAAGCGCACGCACTCAAAAAATCACGCTCTCTTACTCCCCGTCATTTTATAGTTTGTCTACAAGGACATGGGGTTTCTCCTCTACTTGATTGTATGCTTATCTTGAGGTTATCTTGAGATGATTTCGGGGCTTTAGTGTCCCCGCGGCCCGGTCCTCGACCAGGCCTCCACCCCCAGGAAGCAGCCCGTGACAGCTGACTAACACCCAGGTACCTATTTTACTGCTAGGTAACAGGGGCATAGGGTGAAAGAAACTCTGCCCATTGTTTCTCGCCGGCGCCTGGGATCGAACCCAGGACCACAGGATCAGAAGTCCAGCGTGCTGTCCGCTCGGCCGACCGGCTCCCATATCTGCTTACAGCTTACTCTAACACAAACCGTAACTGTCTCTATTTTTCCGCTTGTTACAACTTGTAATAAAGTTGTTACATCTGGGCTTAACGGGTTTAATGACGTATTAGAACGTTGTTACAACTTGCTATATTGGTTGTTATAACTGGTTAGGAGGTGTTATAAACTTGTTCGAACGTTGCACCAACGTCGTAGTTTCGGTGTGTGTGTTTGGCGGGAGCTTACTCCCATTACCAGAGAGAACACCTGTCTCCCCATCACCTGGTGTTGCTCGCTGGTGACGGTGTTACGGTTACGAGAGACACGTCACGCTGGTGTGACTAATATTTCTTTACCAGGTAATCCACGCGTTCCTGGTCCTTGTCGCCTTGTTCCTTGTTGTACCGACCTCAACCACTTTTGTTCTTCACGTCAACCTAAAAACAAAACAAAAAATACAATTATTTGGCTGAACCTCTCTTGGAAATCCCATGTTAAATCCTCTAGATCAACCTTGCATGTAAATCCAAAGGTAAACCAAGCAACTAAGCCCAATAGTTGTACCAGGTAAACAGCTATACCATACTCCCTATACCGTAGGGAGCCGGTCGGCCGAGCGGACAGCACGCTGGACTTGTGATCCTGTGGTTCTGGGTTCGATCCCAGGCGCCGGCGAGAAACGATGGGCAGAGTTTCTTTCACCCTATGCTCCCTGTTACCTAGCAGTAAAATAGGTACCTGGGTGTTAGTCAGCTGTCACGGGCTGTTTCCTGGGGGTGGAGGCCTGGTCGAGGACCGGGCCGCGGGGACACTAAAGCCCCGAAATCATCTCAAGATAACCTCAAGATACAAATAAACCCAGCACACCAACCCCATACATAAACCCAACAGCTGAACTTCAAGGTTGACCCAATTGAGAAACCACCCAGTTTACAATACAGTTATAAGCACTACTTGTAAACCTCAACATGTAGACTAAACCTTTACGCTAATCTTACAGCTACAGACCTTGAGCGCTCCTCCGGTAAACTAAATATGTTCACAGATAAATCACATTATCGTGCTAGGCCAGTGAGAAAATCCACAGGAGCCGTCATTAGGATTCGAACCTATGTGCTGGGTGTTCCCTGATGCACGCTCTAGTCGACTACGCCACGACAGCCTTGGGGAGTCCTCGAGAGTGTAGTAGTACTCCAGGTTGCCATTCTTTTGACCATGTCATGAAGTAGTCAAACCCAGCGCGTAGGTTCGAATCCTCATCACGGCTGCTGTGGATTTTCTCACTAAATATATTGTAGATTTCGTCTACTCTCAACTGTGCTATTCAAGACAATTGACCTATACATTGAACAATGTAACAAGCTTATCAGAATGCAGGCGATGAGTCACAATAACGTGGCTGAAGTATGTTGAGCAGACCACACACTAGAAGTTGAAGGGACGACGACGTTTCGGTCCGTCCTGGACCATTCTCAATCGACTTGAGAATGGTCCAGGACGGACCGAAACGTCGTCGTCCCTTCAACTTCTAGTGTGTGGTCTGGTCAACAAGCTTATCAGAATGTTATGTGGTTAGCTAAATGAATTTGGATGCATAATTTATGAAAGCAATCAACCCAACTTCCTATAATTCTTTAATATAACAGCCTATAACATAATCTTCCTATAACAGCAGATCTTCCCAAAGATAAGTGTAATGACTGAGCCTATCGTGTCCTCCTTGGCAGCTAAGACCTACGAGTGCCTCGGTGACTGGGAAGGCACTGATGGTCAGAGGTACTTGGCACTACACGACCCGACGGCCCTCTCGGCCGCGGCAGCTGGCACTGACCCTCCGCCTCCTCGCTTCCGGTGTGCCGTGAGTACTTGAATGATTGATTGATGAAGATTAAGTAACCCAGGATTGATTGATAGATAAAGATTAAGCCACCCAAGAGGTGGCACGGGCATGAATAGCCCGTAAAGTAACCCAGGAGGTGGCACAGGAATGAATAACCCCTCGTAGGCGTGAGTACTTATCGCAGTTTTGGCGTTGGAGTGCGTAAAAGTGTGCTGCATACGTCCTGTGTGGGTTAAGCTTGGCCGAGCGATGCCTATGTCCTGTGTAGCTAAGCCAGAGCTTTGCACATGGGGACATGTGCAGCGCTCTGTCAAGCTTAGATAAGCTTAGCTGAGCACTGCACATGCCCCCGTGTGGCTAAGCTTGGCCAAGCGCTGCATACTTACATCCGCGGAGTCGTCACCCACCACAACTATTTACGCCAAAAAACATTTCCTGTTTTCTTCCTCTTGGCGCGTTCGAATTCTCGCCCCGTCCTCAAAAAAACACAAAAATTAGTCCCGAGACATCAGAATGATTATTTGCAGCAATTATCTTAACCAATTTGAGATAATATTTATAATATTATGAGAAGTCGAAAGTAGAGGTTTTAGAGTTCTGGAGACGGACTGGAACGACGATTTGTAATGGAAGTCCGGGCCGGGAGCGCCTGGAGGCGTTGGTTCACACGGGAGTTGCCACACAGCGTGATGCTGGCTGAGCCGCCGACTAGAAATTTCCCAAACGAGGGCTGTTTCCGCTCGTTTTTTTCCCCCCGTCTCGCTCGTCTCTCTTCCAGAGAAGGACGTGGTAAAGGAGAGAGAGTAAAGGAAGGTGAGAAGGAAAGAGGATTAAAGAAGGAGAAAAAATGGGGGATGAGAAGAAAATAATGAGTCACGTTTTTGTGGGCGTTAGGAAAAGTTTGCTCGCGTGCTGGGAGGGCGGTGGAATGGTAGGGAAATTGTGAAGGGAATGACTGCTGAGAGGGTGTTTATGGAAGAGGAGGTAGAGAGGGGTGGTTGGAAAGGAGGGGAGTGATGAATTTTGATGGGGGGACTAATCGTATAGTGGGTAAATGGGGGTAGAGAGGATAGTTGTGAAGGAGGGAGACGGAAGGGGGGGGGGGAATAAATGATGGTAGTGATTGTGGAAGCAGAAATGGATGTGATGAAGGGATATTGAGAGTGTGGGTGATGGCTTTGGCGAAGGCTGAGGGGAAGGAGGAGGAGGAGGCTGTAGTGAATGGTGATGATGGAGACTGGTGATGGAGGGTGTTGGTGGAGGGAGATGGAGATAGCATTGATGAAGACTGTAGTGAACGTAGGTAGCAGAGGCTGGTGGTGGAGGCTGTAGTGGTAGTCAAGATTGGCCACTGATATACTAACCTCAAAATAACTTCACATCCAGATCTAGTAGCCCTCCCAATATTGTCCAGATGTGTCTGAGGTTGTGACCGACCCCGGACACGTCGCCAGGGTGTGGTATATCTGCAGTAATACACACAAAATAATGAATGAACCTCTATAAGTCAACGGGTGTGTGAACATTCCCCCATTGCTAGCAGAAACAGACCTTTGAGAGGTGACAGAGTCTGAAATACTGTGTAACTACGACCAGCCGGTCGTAGTTACATATATATATCCAGCCGGTCACCCATCCATCCATTATCCAAACTCCTTACCCAATTACAAAATTTTAAAGTACCTAAATAAATATTGCATTAGAGATAATAATAAAATTATAATAATAATAAAAGTTGGCTCAGGCCATCAAGCTGAAATGCAACTCTCTGTATGTTTTGTATTAATTGCATTAATGATTGAAGTATTCAATGAACAATGAACCTGTTGACCAGACCACACACTAGAAGTTGAAGGGATTCTCAATCAAGTCGATTGAGAATCGACTTGAGAATGGTCCAGGACGGACCGAAACGTCGTCGTCCCTTCAACTTCTAGTGTGTGGTCTGGTCAACATACTTCAGCCACGTTATTGTGACTCCTCGCCAACAATGAACCTGATTGTTGGTGTGCAATACGTTACCATGGAGAGCATCTCCCTGGAGTGAAGCTTAGTGTGCTGTTATTGAGATTATTCATTGTACAATGGGACTTGTACTAGCTAGTGGTACTCTTATGACGTTATCTTGAGGTTATCTTGAGATGATTTCGGGGTTTTAGTGTCCCCGCGGCCCGGTCCTCGACCAGGCCTCCACCCCCAGGAAGCAGCCCGTGACAGCTGACTAACACCCAGGTACCTATTTTACTGCTAGGTAACAGGGGCATAGGGTGAAAGAAACTCTGCCCATTGTTTCTCGCCGGCGCCTGGGATCGAACCCAGGACCACAGGATCACAAGTCCAGCGTGCTGTCCGCTCGGCCGACCGGCTCCCTATTATTGTTTTCTTCTTCTTTTGTTCTTGTTCTTTACCTTCTTTTTTTGTCATTTATTTTCCTTCTGTCCCTCTTCAGTTCCTTGTCTTGAGTTTTTTTTTTTTTTTTCGTTTCTCATCAGTTCATTTTTCTTCTGTTAATTCTTCTTATTCTGTTCCTTCTCCTTGTCTTCCTTCTTCATGGTTTCCTGCTTCTCTTCCTTCTTCTTCTTCTGTTCCTACTTCACTTGCTTAATTATTTAATGGTCTGAGCATCTAGTGCAAACAAGACTAGGAGAAAACCACAAACCCCCCGACACTAATTAATCAGCTGAGAGACATAAACAAACACTGACACTCGTATTAATCAGCTGAGAGACGTAAACAATCCCTGAGACGAGTATTAATCAGATGAGAGACGTAATCAATCTCTGAGACTCGTATTAATCAGCTGAGAGACGTAAACAATCCCTGGGACTCGTATTAATCAGCTGAGAGACGTAAACAATCCCTGAGACGAGTATTAATCAGCTGAGAGACGTAATCAATCCCTGGGACTAGTATTAATCAGATGAGAGACGTAATCAATCCCTGGGACTAGTATTAATCAGATAAGAGACGTAATCAATCCCCGAGACTCGTATTAATCAGATGAAAGACGTAAACAATCCCTGAGACGAGTATTAATCAGCTGAGAGACGTAAACAATCCCTGAGACGAGTATTAATCAGCTGAGAGACGTAAACAATCCACGAGACTCGTCTCAGTCATTCATATATGCATATATCACTAAGAACTCTATGATATGAGCAGAACTCGAACCTGCGTTACCAGGGCTCATCCAACTGGCGTACTCGGTACTGATAATGTCTATGTGTTCCTGTGTTTGTGTATGGTATTGAAAGATATAAAGTATTGCATCAGTGACTCTAGAACAAATATATCTCTATCTTTCTCATGTTTTTCACTCATCAAAGAAGTTGAAAAGTTAACTTCCTAAGCTTAAGGTTACAATTTTATTTGTCCTGAGGGACGCTGAAGGACGCACTTTACTGAAGTTCTCTTTGAACTTCAGAAAACAAGATATTCAGTCCCTTGTTGGTCCCCAAGACTTCAATATCTTCACTAGTAGGGGTCCCTCCCTCGGCGTCCCCATTCAGTAGTTAGCGTCCCTGTGGTCTCAGAAGTAAGTAATTATCAGAAGAAGGCAGCAAGCCGGGGAGGTTACGAAGGGGGGGGGGGGGGCTGTCTTTACTTCTAGTGTCTCTAATAATTCTAGGGGGGCTTGACGGCTGAGTGGACAGCGCTCGAGGTTTGTAGTCCAAAGGGTCTGGGTTCGATCCCCGACCGAGGCGGAAACAAATTTGCAGACTTTTACCTTGATGCCCCTGTTCACCTAGCAGTAAATAGGTACCTGGGAGTTAGGCAGTTGCTACAGGGCTGCTTTCTGAGGATGTGTGTGTGGGAAAATTAAGATTAAGGACTTGCCCATAATGCCATTCGTGTTAGTGGCGGTACAAGAACTCTTGTATATATAAATAAATAAATAAATAAATAAATAAATAAATAAATAAATAAATAAATAAAAAAGTTTCGGAGACTTAGTTTCGGAAACACACAGGAGTAATTGGTCTGGTTAAACAGGAAGACCTGAGCAGTGTGTGTGTGTGTGTGGGTCCTGAGCACTCTGGTCCTGTGACATCATCACCCGCACACCACATCCGGTCACTCTGTGCTCCTTGCAACGTGTTCGAATTGCTGCATCACACCCATTGCGTGCAATTCATGTCAGCTAAAACAGTTTGATTTCCCTCACTGTGTCTGAGAGACGTCTTAATACGATCTGTATTAAGATCCACGATCCACGTATGGCTTCTAGAAACTTTCCTGGGGGGAAAAAAATACATCTAATTATCTTCAAATACAAATTTCAAAGCCAAAGTCCAGCGAGTTGGGATGAAAGCCGGGACAGGTCATAGACCTCCTACGTGTTTCGAAACCAGAACCACGTCCACAATTGCTTCCTTTTTTGCACATTTTTTCCCTCCCCTCCGATATTTTCTTGCCAGTTTGAGAGTTATTGGGTTCAGTCAAACCCTTATATATCAGCTAAGACATTCACGCCCGCCGCCAGCACTCTCGGAGACGAGATGTTCAAGTGAGTGACTAGTGAGGATATTTTGTTGGGAAGTTCTTACTCTTGGAGGGTGGGGGAGGTGTTCTTGGTGCTAGTAGGTGGGGGAGGTGTCTGATGTTCTTGGTGCTAGTGGGTGGGGGAGGTGTCGCTGGTGTTCTTGGTGCTAGTGGGTGAGGGAGGTGTTCTTGGTGCTAGTAGGTGGGGGAGGTCTCTGATGTTCTTGGTGCTAGTGGGTGGGGGAGGTCTCTGATGTTCTTGGTGCTAGTGGGTGGGGGAGGTCTCTGATGTTCTTGGTGCTAGTGGGTGGGGGAGGTGTCTCTGATGTTCTTGGTGCTTGTGGGTGTGGGAGGTGTTCTTGGTGCTAGTTGGTGGGGGAGGTGTCTGTTGTTCTTGGTGCTAGTGGGTGGGGGAGGTGTCGCTGGTGTTCTTGGTGCTAGTGGGTGAGGGAGGTGTTCTTGGTGCTAGTAGGTGGGGGAGGTGTCTGATGTTCTTGGTGCTAGTGGGTGAGGGAGGTGTTCTTGGTGCTAGTAGGTGGGGGAGGTGTCTGATGTTCTTGGTGCTAGTGGGTGGGGGAGGTGTCGCTGGTGTTCTTGGTGCTAGTGGGTGAGGGAGGTGTTCTTGGTGCTAGTAGGTGGGGGAGGTGTCTGATGTTCTTGGTGCTAGTGGGTGGGGGAGGTGTCGCTGGTGTTCTTGGTGCTAGTGGGTGAGGGAGGTGTTCTTGGTGCTAGTAGGTGGGGGAGGTGTCTGATGTTCTTGGTGCTAGTGGGTGGGGGAGGTGTCGCTGGTGTTCTTGGTGCTAGTGGGTGAGGGAGGTGTTCTTGGTGCTAGTAGGTGGGGGAGGTCTCTGATGTTCTTGGTGCTAGTGGGTGGGGGAGGTGTCGCTGGTGTTCTTGGTGCTAGTGGGTGAGGGAGGTGTTCTTGGTGCTAGTAGGTGGGGGAGGTCTCTGATGTTCTTGGTGCTAGTGGGTGGGGGAGGTCTCTGATGTTCTTGGTGCTAGTGGGTGGGGGAGGTGTCGCTGGTGTTCTTGGTGCTAGTGGGTGGGGGAGGTGTGTGGTGTTCGCTGGTGTTCTTGGTGCTAGTGGGTGGGGGAGGTGTCGCTGGTGTTCTTGGTGCTAGTGGGTGGGGGAGGTGTCGCTGGTGTTCTTGGTGCTAGTGGGTGGGGGAGGTGTCTCTAGTGTTCTTGGTGCTAGTGGGTGGGGGAGGTGTCTCTAGTGTTCTTGGTGCTAGTGGGTGGGGGAGGTGTCTCTGGTGTTCTTGGTGCTAGAGGGTGGTGGAGGTGTCTCTGGTGTTCTTGGTGCTAGAGGGTGGTGGAGGTGTCTCTGGTGTTCTTGGTTCTAGAGGGTGGTGGAGGTGTCTCTGGTGTTCTTCCTGCCAGTGGGTAATGTCCTTGGGACATCAGGCTCCGACTTCGCCAACACCACCAGCGGTTGCCTTGAGTTACGAAGACCTTCCCTCCCGCTCTCGTAAACATCATAATTACGCACCGTGAAGCCTCGCTAATGCCTTTCTGTAGATTTTTCTCGTCCGGCAACTGCTAATGAACGGTGTTTCCGAACTTCAACCGTGATCCGACTTCGCGCTCTCTCCTCCTCTTCCTCCTCCTCCTCCTCCTCTCTCCAGAGTCTTCAGCGGCCTGCTCTTCTTGTGGCCTGCGTTCGTTCACCCTGTCATGCTCTTTTGGTAATTCAAGTTTGTATTATTTGCAGTTTTGCCATTGCTGGAGCACGTTCTCGGCTGAGATTTTTTGGCGATCATCCGTCGTCTGTGTTTGACCTGCATAATGGCGGTCGTGTTTTTCCCGTGACGAGACGAGGCCATTTTATTATCTCATTTTATTCTTGCAGTGTGAATAAAGATTGAATAAAGATGAGAATAAAGATTTAAAAGTCTAATAATGGTATTGGGGTGTGAGTTATACACGTGTATATAAAAATAGGATTTAGCGGGTTTTTTGTTTGTTTGCGTTAGTAGATGCTTGGATTTTATTGAACCCTAATGAGCTTTTGGGTTTCTGGAAGCCTCAATTGATCCACATATCAAGTTCACGTCTTTTTCGAGAAATGAATTCTCACCTAATCTCGCTATTCAGCTCATAGAACCTAAGAACCCTGCCGAACCACAGAGGGTTTGAGGTTTCACACGAAGCATTGAATTATCAAAACAGAGCGTCAGAAACCCTCCAACAATTTACGAAATTTCGGCCCTACCTTAAAAACTCTTGAAACCTTTTGACTCTGCAGTGAAACCTGCCGTTGTTTCTGCCTATAACTGCATATATAAATGTATGAAAGTATGTGTTTATGCAGGCGATGAGTCACAATAACGTGGCTAAAGTATGCTGACCAGACCACACACTAGAAGGTGAAGCGACGACGACGTTTCGGTCCGTCCTGGACCATTCTCAAGTCGATTGTGTGACTTGAGAATGGTTCAGGACGGACCAAAATGTCGTCGTCCCTTCACCTTCTACTGTGTGGTCTGGTCAACAGTGTGTGTTTATGTTAATATGGTTGTCGTTGCAGATGTACAAGAAGGAGGAGGACGGGACCGGTCGGGTGTACTTGTCGTTGTCCTTCGACTCCACATGCATCAACAAGCTCCACTCCGCCTGGGAGGGCTACGAGACCCTGGTCCTCACGCCCACGCAGCCCAAGGCGCCCGTGTCAGAGGTGAGTCACGCACGCCCACAGTCACGCCCCTGCTACGATTATAGCGCGCCCACAGCACGCCCGCGGCCGCCCATATAGCTTTCTTCCCTCTCTTATTTTCACCTCCCTTCCCTGCAAGTGCTGTATCTTTTTATCTATTTAATTATCTATGTGTCAATAGACACATAGACTATGACTATGTGTCATAGTCTAGACCTATGAATCTAACTACCTTCATACCTTTCTCCCTTCTCTTTTATTCTATTTTGTCTTCCTTCTCTCGTTCTTTTCCGTCTCCTAACTGGATCCAGTGGGCATAATGTCAGTGGTGTTGGTTAGACGCGAAATCAACGTTATCAACTTTAATTCACCGTTGAATCTACACTGGTAACGTTGATTTGCCGTTATTCTTTGATATTGGGCCCACTGGGGATATTGGGCCCACTGGGGGATATTGTGCCCACTGGGGGATATTGTGCCCACTGGGGATATTGGGCCCACTGGGGGATATTGGGCCCACTGGGGGATATTGTGCCCACTGGGGGATATTGTGCCCACTGGGGGATATTGTGCCCACTGGGGATATTGGGCCCACTGGGGGATATTGTGCCCACTGGGGGATATTGTGCCCACTGGGGATATTGTGCCCACTGGGGATATTGGGCCCACTGGGGGATATTGTGCCCACTGTGGATATTGTGCCCACTGGGGATATTGGGCCCACTGGGGATATTGGGCCCACTGGGGGATATTGGGCCCACTGGGGATATTGTGCCCACTGGGGATATTGTGCCCACTGGGGATATTTTGCCCACTGGGGATATTGTGCCCACTGGGGGATATTGGGCCCACTGGGGGATATTGGGCCCACTGGGGGATATTGTGCCCACTGGGGGATATTGTGCCCACTGGGGATATTGTGCCCACTGGAGATATTGGGCCCACTGGGGGATATTGTGCCCACTGGGGATATTGTGCCCACTGGGGATATTGGGCCCACTGGGGGATATTGTGCCCACTGGGGATATTGGGACCACTGGGGGATATTGTGCCCACTGGGGATATTGTGCCCACTGGGGATATTGTGCCCACTGGGGATATTGTGCCCACTGGGGATATTGTGCCCACTGGGGATATTGGGCCCACTGGGGATATTGGGCCCACTGGGGATATTGGGCCAACTGGGGGGTATTGTGCCCACTGGGGATATTGTGCCCACTGGGGATATTGTGCCCACTGGGGATATTGGGCCCACTGGGGGATATTGTGCCCACTGGGGATATTGGGCCCACTGGGGACACGTTCATGTTTATGGTCATGTTCCAATGTTGTGTGTGGTATAGCCTCCTTTCCTCCTTAGGTTGCCTCTGCGGGCTGCACGTTTCCTCAGTGGGTGCAGGGGCAGTGGGAGAACCTGCGGGTGGAGGGCAACCAGGCCACCTACACCGACCTCCACACCTACAAGACCTTCCGTGTGTACTGCCTCGACCAGGAGATGGCGGGGCTCGTGCCTGTCTACACCCAGACACAGTGGTGAGTACACTGGGTGTGTATGTTGGTTGTCACCATCAACAGAAAACGCAAAGCCAGTTTGGCTATGACTCTTCCGGGCAAAGCTTGGAGAAAGCGTCGTTGATATGGCGTTGATTTAACTCTTATGTAATGTTGATCTTGCGTTGATTATACGTGATTTGAGGTCAAAAAGAGTGTTAGAGAAGCGTTAAATCAACGTAGGTTTAATGTTACATTAAGATCGTTTGCCCGGTAAAGCCAGGGGGTCAGATTCACGAAGCAGTTACGCAAGTACTTACAAACATGTACATCTTTCCTCAATCTTTGACGGCTTTGGTTATATTTATTAAACAGTTTACAAGAATAAAAAAAAAAAACAATCAACTGTTGTTATTGTTATAAACAGCCTCCTGGTGCTTCGCAGGTCATTAACTGTTTAATAATTGTAAACAAATCCGCCAAAGAATGAGAAAAGATGTACAGGTTCGTAAGTGCTTCGAGAATCTGGCCAGAGGAGGGAGGGAGAGTGTATGTGAGAATGTAGGGTGTAGATTATTTCTGCAGACGTGTGAGATAAATTCTTGCTCTCTAGTGTATTGACATTAGTTTGTTTGTTGTATACACAACTATTTTTTAAGTGAAATATATGCATCTTGTTTGTAATGTTGTATATCTTATACATGTTATGTGTGGTTGTGTGGTGTGGTTGTGTGGTGTGGTGTGGTTGTGTGGTGTGTGGTGTGGTTGTGTGGTGTAGTGTGGTTGTGTGGTGTGGTGTGGTGGTGTGGTGTGGGGTGATGTGGTGTGTGGTGTGGTGTGGTGTGGTGGTGTGGTGGTATGGTGTGGTGTGGTGTGGTGTGGTGTGGGGTGGTGTGGGGTGATGTGGTGTGTGGTGTGGTGTGGTGTGGTGGTGTGGTGGTATGGTGTGGTGTGGTGTGGTGTGGTGTGGTGTGGTGTGGTTTGGTGTGTGGTGTGGTGTGTGGTGTGGTGTGTGTGTGGTGTGGTGTGGTGTGGTGTGGTGGTGTGTGGTGTGGTGTGGTGGTGTGGTGTGGTGTGGTGGTGTGGTGTGGTGTGGTAGTGATCTAGTAATTACCAGGTATATGGGAGGCATGAAGAAAAATTTAACTAGACTCCTTTTTCTTTCTTAGCAATTTCTAATTCCATCTTCACTTTGTAGTGTTTCTCTCTTCACGGTCTCGTTTTTCTCCTTCCTCTTCTGCTTCTTACTCCCTTTTCACATCTTTACATCCACTTTTACCTATTAGTCATTCCTTAATTCCCTTCTCATTTTCCCCCTTCTGCTTCCTTCCTTTTTTTCTACTCTCCCATCTCCTCTTCCATCCCCCCTTTCCTGTGTCACCAATTTGCATACACTAAGTTGCACCTGTTTTTGCATGCGCTTCTGCCATGTGTTGATCTTATGGGTTAGCCACTGACAAACATTGTCCAATTCTCACTTACACCCACACCCACTCTACACACACACACACACACACACACACACACACACACACACACACACACACACACACACACACACACACACACACACACACACACGCTACACCAACACCCATATATCCACACCCACACAAAACCAACTCTCATATCCACCCCCACGCCCACGCCCCCACATACCATCTCAATACCCAGATCCCACTCAATCCAAAACGCCCCAGCACGCATATCGATTTCCACGCCCACGCTCACTCTTACGCCCACGCCTCCACCCATGACCGGAACAGAGAAAAATGAGGGCATGCAGCCGGGCATATTAATGTCCTGTGCACTCCTTTTGCGGGCGTGACAAACTTCTACATTTCCATCTGCATGGTTGTCTCTCATCTTCTTCTGCGAGACATAGTCTCTGACGGCCTCTGGTCTCTCGTGTTTACCTGTGTGTGTAATACCTAAGTGTAGTTACAGGATGAGAGCTACACTCGTGGTGTCCCGTCTTCCCAGTACTCTTTGTCGTATAATGTTTTACCTGTACTCACCTAATTGTGCTTGCGGGGGTTGAGCTCTGGCTCTTTGGTCCCGCCTCTCAACCGTCAATCAACTGGTGTACAGATTCCTGAGCCTATTTGGCTCTATCATATCTCAGCCCGTCCTCCAAAAATGGGGTGGTAAATGTAGAAGACAAATAAGTGCAATTATGTACTATTCATAGCAGTTAGGAATTGTACTTATTTTCACTTAGTATTAAATCGTACTGTCAGATATATTGTGAATATTTGAGTTTACCTGAAAAACTGAATAGAAAACCACAACCTCACCTAACCGTCTTAGTTTTTGAAGATAATAATTGTATTGCTTCTTAATTACAATTAGTACTTAACATATAGCTATATTGATATTACAGTTTTATAAAACTAATAAAACAAAACTAAAATATATTAATAAATTCTAAAGTAACTCAGGATATTTTAAAATTTTGTATAAAGTCTATATTGTTTAATTAACCTGAAAAAGAAATTCCTGATATTTAAAACTTGTATATTGCAAATCGAAATTGAAAACGTCATCCTAAATTCTGAGTGACTTAACAGAAAACGAGAAGAATTAAAGTGGGGGAGGGAGTTGGGTCAATGTAACAGCCCCATAAGTGCAATTATGCACTGCTTATTACAGTAAGAAAGTGTACTTATTACACTTAGTATTAAATCGTACTGTCAATTCGGAGGATGGGTTGCATATCTACATTTGAAACTGTGTATGGAGTCAGCCTCCACCACATCACTTCCTAATGCATTCCATTTACTAACTACTCTGACACTGAAAAAGTTCTTTCTAACGTCTCTGTGGCTCATTTGGGTACTCAGCTTCCACCTGTGTCCCCTTGTTCGCGTCCCACCAGTGTTGAATAGTTCATCCTTGTTTACCCGGTCGATTCCCCCTGAGGATTTTGTAGGTTGTGATCATGTCCCCCCTTACTCTTCTGTCTTCCAGTGTCGTAAGGTGCATGTGTGTGTGTGTGTGTGTGTGTGTGTGTGTGTGTGTGTGTGTGTGTGTGTGTGTGTGTGTGTGTGTGTGTGTGTGTGTGTGTATGTGTAATATCTAAGTGTAGTTACAGGATGAGAGCTACACTCGTGGTGTCCCGTCTTCCCAGTACTCTTTGTCGTATAATGCTTTACCTGTGTGTGTGTGTGTGTGTGTGTGTGTGTGTGTGTTTTGTGATCAAATTGACCATCAATGCCATTACGATTGTTAGGAAAAGCATCAGGAGGAAAATTCGCTTCGCCAATCTTTTTGTTTCACGCGCGTCATCCGGCCCAATCAGATCAGCGAACAGTGAACACAGTTTAGTCACGGGGTAGTTCCCGTAGATTGTGGTAATTAGAGCTAAGTGGCATTGAAGCAGAGTAGTTATGAGTAGTTTGATGTCAGAGGTGACTGTGGAGAAGTGGTGGGTTGAGGGTGGGGGAAGTTATTCCTGGATTCCTATTCAAGTGCAACTTCTGAGGGTTACGCCCTTCCGGAGAAAGAAAATGTGGGATAGAGAAAAATGGGAAGGAAGGAAGGAAGGAAGGAAGGAAGGAAGGAAGGAAGGAAGGAAGGAAGGAAGGAAGGAAGAACTGAAATGGGAAGGGAAGGAGAGAATATTAGTCTCTCACTTCCACCTCCTTACTACCACCTCATTCCCCTAACTGACTTACCCAAGTCAGCTTTGTCGTGTACTGCCCAACCACTAACTGTCTCTAACTACCACTAAATTTCCATGGATGAAAAAAAATGTGGATAAATTTTCACCGCTTATTTCTCATTAAAAGTGATCCGTCACCACCTTTCTGTGTCAGGCAGTTCAACGCTCACTTCCTTTTGCGTGTAGTTGAGAATAAACTACCTTAAGGAACCCACAATAGAGTGATAGATCTACGAGAAGATCACTGGGGCGTCCAGTGGTGGGCTAGAGGATTATGGCGCGCGTCTGGTGATAACCGGGACCCGCTGGTTCGATACCCGCGTACTGCTCCAATGATTCTTTCTCATTAACTGCCTTATTATCGGACTCCCTCCTTTCCCCCACCCTACTTTGTAAGTGACCTCCACTTACCCCTTCATCCGCTTCCCATCCCACGCTTCGCCTCGCCCCTCTCGTTCAGTACTTCCTCCCCCCCACCCACTCTGAACCCCCCTTTCCGCTTCTTCCCAACCCCCTTCCGCCCGTTTCCGTCTCTTCTCGGCACTCTTCCACCCCTTCCCGCTTCTTTCCACCTCCCTCACCGCCTCTTCCCACCCCTTTCCATCCTCCTCCTCCTCCCTCTTCAAACCTAATCCAATCAGCTTCCTCTGATAAGGAAGGATAAGGATCGGCACACACAGGCTCGAACCCTTGCCACAGAACTGCTTGAACGCGTAGCACAATACTGCTAGGATGCCTTCCACTAGGTTGCTAGGACGCCTACCTCAGTATTGCTAGGACACCTACGTCAATACTGCTATGACACTTACCTCAATACTGCTAGGACACTTACCGCAATACTGCTAGGACACTTACCGCAATACTGCTAGGACACTTACCGCAATACTGCTAGGACACTTACCGCAATACTGCTAGGACACTTACCGCAATACTGCTAGGACACTTACCGCAATACTGCTAGGACACTTACCGCAATACTGCTAGGACACTTACCGCAATACTGCTAGGACACTTACCGCAATACTGCTAGGACACTTACCGCAATACTCCTAAGACACTCCCACTACAATGGCTACAGTGCCTACCTCAGTATTGCTAGGACACCCACTTCCATACTGCTAGGACACGTGGCAGGTTTAAAAGTCCCGTCTACACTTCTCAGGCCATTTAAAGAGACTGACTAAGGCAGGAAGTAAGGTTTGAACTAAGACCTTCATTTTCGCCAATTATTTAACGCTGCAATTTTATCCTCCACAGCACCGGCTTCCTCTGAAATTTAAAATTAATCTGCATCGCGGGTTTTTTTTGTTTAATATCAATAGCATACAAGTTAGTTTTTTCCTCACTTAAGAAAATATATTTAAATTAATTGTTTATA